AATCAACAGTTCAAGATATAAAAATTAGTCTGTTGAAATGGACATATTTGGAGATTAAGGACTCTGGGAAATTCTTAGGAGAAACGTTGGTCCCTTCAGATTCATGAACTTGGAAAAGACATCCAGGCGTGGTTCATTTGACCTGTCATGAGTTGAACTTTTATTTGTAAGCTACAACATTGTCCCTCAAAAATCTCCATATTCATATTTATAAACCAAATCTTGTGCACTGTCCTGTCCTCTCTCTTATCTCTTGCTCCAACCTAAGTCTCTATCTCCTCCTCAGCCCATGATTAATGTCTCAGAGGCTGGATCTGGGCTCATCCCTGTTATGGAACCACTGGACAGATGTTGCTGAACATAATCATCTTCCAAGCCACCACCTCTGATGGCCCAGAGAGCCTGAGAGTCTTTCAACTTTGGGAAGGCAGGGAGAGGGGTGAGGAGACACCCAGCTATGTCCAGGTCTTACTTACTCCTGGTTTTGTGCTCAGGGATCACTCCTGGTGGTCCATATGTAGTGAAGACTGAAGCAGCGTCAGCCTTAAACCCTGTACTATCCCAAGTAGCCTTAACCCCGGTACTATCTTTCCTGCCATATCACAACGTTTTGAAGAGAATTTGCTTCTTTCATCCCTAGCAAGTCCAGGAACTAGCAGAAGCAAGTTCCCTGCAATCTTTTATCTATTCCTTTGCAAACGAAGTCCCAATAAATACTTGTTGAATTTTATCATTTGGTTAACCTTCAAATCCAGACATGCTGGTAGAAAGGATACATGATTAGCCTGGAGGCACACGGAAGAGCCAAGCGTCTTGTCTGTCCCCTCCTTTTCTGCTACACTGCCCAAGGATGTGAGGCCTGGTGAAGGACACAGGTTTGAAGAGAAGCCAGAGAAAGTACCTTGAAATGGATCAAAGGTGCCAGCGGAGCTGGCATGCGTGGGAAAAAGGAGGACAGAGCATCCCTAGTGACTGTCTGGGGTTGTCCCTGAGAACCTAGGAGTCGTCAGTGACATTCATTTCCTTTCCCCTCTGTTTCTGAGAAGCAAAATTTTGGGAGAAGTTTTTGCTTTAGAATTTAAATTCAGGGATCTCCCTGCTTGAATAGTCTCTTGGGTACTGACTATACACAAGGATCCCGAGTGGGTTCCACGAAATCCATCCTGGGCAAAGCAGACCTGGTCCTTCCAGAAACTCCCAGGTTTAGTAACGGAGACCAACCCCATTTTTTTCTTGGGGTCACAGGCGGGTGCTGCACACAAACTCCCAGGCAGATAAAATTACTAGAGGAGGGAGGGATGCACTCAGAAGGGGAAAAAAAAATCCAGGAGGTTCCAAGAGAATGCAGGGGGAGGGCTGGGTTGAAACGAAGGGGTGAGGGAAAAAAGCAGACTGGAGTGTGAAGAAGGGATTTTGCAAAGGTGCAGCCCTTTACATCTGTGAGGCCAATAATAATAAGAAAGGTGCCTGCAAGGGCCGCTCATCCTCATTGATGGGCCACTTCCTCCAGCTCCAGGAATGGGCCTCCCTTGCGAGAAGTCCGTAGGCATCTCGGTCAGGGCTGGAAGAGCCTTCACAAATGCTAATGGGCCAGTATTTTACCCGCTGCCCCCTGCCTCTTCAGCCCTAGCTGGCTTGAAAGCTTAGGTGAATAGTGGGGATAAGCGGCGTTTCCAGTGTCAGGGGAGGAAGAATAAAGCATTCCCATCCCAAATCCCTACCTGGGGACCCCGGCTTCCCTCCCCCAAACACTGCGGGGAAAGTTTTTCAAACCAAACTCCCACCACCTAGCGTTATTGGATAGGAAGGCGTGGGGGGTGGGGGGCCGCTTTCCGGAGACTCGGGTTATCCCGGAGAAATTTAAAGGAGGGGGGAAAAAAAGGCAATAATCTTAATAATCTGTGAACAACTCTCTTCCCCGTCCCCCCCCCCCCCCAGCTCCCGCCTCCCGACACACACCTGCTGCTAGAAAGCTGGAGTACAGCGAAGGCCCAGGGGGTTTCGCTGGAGGGGGTGGGGGCGCAGAGCAGCGCCCGGAGGGTGGGTGGGGTGTTAATTTCCCCGGAAGAACCGACGACGATCTGCTAAGAGCAAACATCGGCCAGAGCCGCGGCTGTCCGCGCGCTCGTTATTTCTTAAAAGAATAAATAAATAAAAATTAAAAAAAAAAAAAAAACAACGTCGCGAGGTGAACCAGCACGGCGCGAACTCTTCTATTTTACAACCGAAGCTTGGGTCGGAGGGAGCCCCAAGGTGGGAACTGCACGCTCCCGAGCCTTCCCCATCCTTCCGGGCGGGGGGGAACAGACGCCAGCGAGGGGGCCACCGCGAAAGCGCGTTCCCAACGGCAGCCGAGCGCGGCCCCCCGACCCGGAGGCGCAGCGGATTAGCCTGGAGCGTCGCGGGCGCGGCGGGGGCACCGCGGGGCGCCGCACCCCCTCTCTCCCCCCCAACCCCTCGCCCCGTGCCCCGCTTTCTGCTCGCTCTCCGCGAGGTGTCGCCTTCGGCCGGAGAAAACCCGGCGCCGCCACCCTCGCGGCCGCAGTTATTTATTTATTTTCCAACAAGGGGGGGCGCCCCTCTCCTTTGCAATTCCAAACTAGCCCCAGCCCAGCAGTGGGCCGGCTTTCCGCCCCCCTTGGGGGGGGGGCGCGCATCCCACTCCGTTCCTTTCTTGGAGCAACCCCAGGTGATCGGACGTCCCTTGGAAGGTCACCCACCACCACCACCACCACTACCACCCACCCGGCCCCGAATCCAAGTTGGCTTTCACGGGAAGCTCAGTTCTCGCTCGCTCCAATTGCATCCCCAGCGTCCCCTCCGCAGACGCCCAGCCGAAAACACGCACTCCCCCCTTTACTTTACCCCCCGCGCAATCTTTTATTTATTTATTTGTTTGTTTATTTATTTATTTCTTAAATGCCCAAGCAATTGCCAGGTCGGCAGAGTGGCGAAGGCTTTGCAGCACTCGGCGCGCAGCTGGTTCGCAGAGTGCAGCGGGTGCAAGGCTGGGGGGTGGGGATGGGATGATGGGGGAGTGGGGGGGGGTGTCTGAAAGGGCGGGAGGCGCACACCCCCGACTTCCCAGCTTTGCCATCTCCTCTGGGCCCAGAAGAAAAGCAAGCGGCTTTTGGCGCGAAAGCCTTGGCGCCTCCCCTGATTTTTATGGAAATGAAGAGGGCGGGGTAAAGCCGCTTTTCCTCGGCCTTTCTCCCTCCCCCTTGTCTGCGCCGCAGCCCCCTGCTCGCTCGCTCGCTCGCTTGCTCGCTTGCTCTCTCTCTCTCTCTCTCCCTCCCTCTCCCCGCCCCCCGGGTGTGTCAGATTTTTCAGTTAATAATATCCCCCGAGCTTCAAAGCGCAGCCAGTGACAGTCATCTGTCTGGACGCGCTGGGTGGATGCTGGGGGCTCCTGGGAACTGGGCTGGAGCCGAGCGAGCGCTGGCCAGGCGCGAGCGCGCACGGACGGCAGCTGCCCCCCGCGGGACCCCCCCATTCTCCTCTCCAGGCCACCCCGGAGACCCTCTTGCAGAAGCGCCTCCGGAGCTCCGGAGCCCCGCAGCCGGCGAGAGGTAAGGAGCCCCGGGGTACCCGGGCAGCCCGCGAGCGCGCCGGAACGAACGCAAGCTCAGGACCGGCTCGGTCGGTCGCTGGCCGCTCGCGCCCGGGACGCGCCCGGGTGATGGGTGTCTCTGCTTGGGAAACAAAACCGTCTCGGAAAGGTTGCCCCCCGCCCCGAAAAAAAAGCCCGTCCCAGCCCCGGAGGCACCCCGGCTGGAGGAGACCCGCCCAATTCCTTTTACTGCCCTGGCGGGGGGCGTGGGGGTGTGGTAGTGGTGGTGGTAAGGGGGGGTGTATAATAGCTTCTTCGAGAAGAAATTGGCTTTTTCTTTTCTTTTCTTTTTTCTGGGACGTCTGTCTGCATTTGAGCTGATGGGGAGTGGGTGTCCCTCCCACCCCTCCCGAAAGAGGCTCGGCAAGGTGAAACAGCCCGGGGTGGATAATCTGGGTCACGGCGGCTGTCCCGGCTCTCGCCGAGCGACTCTCCCCAACACCGGGGCTCCCGACAACCGGGGCGCAGGCTCCGCGCTCCCCGCCCAAGGACGGCGTTGGAGGGGTTAGGAGGGCAGGGGTGGGGTTCGCTTCTGGCAGGACTCCTGGCGGCGGATGTGAATGCAGAGGGGCGTCAGCTCAAACTGGGGGTGGGGGTAGGGGGGGATTGTGGATTTGGGTGCCAGCGGTTGGTCTCCGGGTGTAGAGAAAGGCTTTTGCATTTTTTTTTTACATTTACAAAGTTTCCTCCTCACCCTCCCCTCTCCTCCACCCCCCCCCCTTTTTACTATTTTGCACTTTCTACTATTTTGCAATTTCACCAAGCGGGGGCTTGAGGGTCTTCCCAGGGCGGTGGGTGGGTGGGTGGGGTGGAGTGGGCTTTCCTGGGCGCTGTCGACCTTACCTTGGTGTCTAAGTCGGGGCTGTGGCTCGCTGGAGAGAGCTGGAATCCTGCAGACCCCCCCCCCCCTTCCCTACTCTCCCCCGCCCCAGCCGCACCCCCACCCACCAGTGCCTTGTGTGAATGAAACGGCAGTTTCCAAAGTGGCCGAGCCACGCCACCGCCCCCCGCATCTGCTGGCCCGGCCCTCCCACCCCCTGTCGTAGACAGCTTGTACACAAAAGGAGGGAGGGGAACGAGAGCGAGACAGAACTTCCTCCACCTTCGGGAGCGCTAGGCGGAGTGGAGAGTGGGGGGGTGGGCTTGGAGAGGAGCCGGGCGACCTGGGGTGGCTGGGTGGGTGGGGGGCGCCCACTGTCTGTCTGTCTGCCTGCCTGTCTGTCTGTCTCCCACCCCCCACCCCCACCCCCGACTCCGGCCCCTCTTGCCAACCGTCTCGGTGTGTCTGTCGGTTGCAGCATCGGAGCGTGACGCGCGCCCCCCCCACACACACACCGCGCCCTCCTCAAACCCCCCGCGGGAAGGAAGCACCCCCTGAACTGAAAAATAAATCAAATCAAAAGAGCCCCCCGAGCGGAAAGAGAAAAGCCGGCCCGGAGGCGAACCGATGCCGAGCTGCGCCGCGTCCACCATGCCGGGGAGGATCTGCAAGAACCCCGACCTCGAGTTCGACTCGCTGCAGCCCTGCTTCTACCCGGACGAGGATGACTTCTACTTCGGCGGCCCCGACTCGACCCCCCCGGGGGAGGACATCTGGAAGAAGTTTGAGCTGCTGCCCACGCCCCCGCTGTCGCCCAGCCGTGCCTTCCCCGAGCCCAGCCCGGAGCACGGCAGCTGGGCCTCGGAGATGATGCTCCTGCCCGAACCCGACCTGTGGGGCAACCCGGCCGAGGAGGATGCGTTCGGCCTGGGCGGACTCGGGGGCCTTACCCCCAACCCGGTCATCCTGCAGGACTGCATGTGGAGCGGCTTCTCGGCCCGCGAGAAGCTGGAGCGCGCCGTCAGCGAGAAGCTGCAGCACGGCCGCGGGCCGCCGGCCCCGGGTCCGACCGCCGCCGCCCCCGCCTCGGGCACCCCGGCCGCCCGCGGGCACGGGCACGGCGCGGCGGCGGCGACCGCGGGCTCTGGCCGCTCCGGAGCCGCCCTGCCCGCCCCGCTGGCGCACCCGGCCGCCGAGTGCGTGGATCCCGCCGTGGTCTTCCCGTTCCCGGTGACCCAGCGCGAGCCCGCGCCGCTGCCCGCCGCCTCCCCGGCGGCCGCCGCCGCTGCTGCAGCTGCAGCTGGTGCATCGGGCGCTGTCGCTGCAGCAGCAGCAGCAGCAGCTGGTGCTGCGGCTCCCGCGGGCGCTGTCGCGGCCGTCTCGGGCCCGGGGGCTGCGACCCCCGGCGGGGGGGGCCCCGTGGTCGCCCCGGTGCGTGCAGGGGGCCGCCCGGCCAGCAGCAGTAGCAGCAGCAGCAGTAGCAGCAGCAGCGACCACAAGGCCCTGAGCACCTCGGGAGAGGACACCCTGAGCGACTCAGGTAAAGACCCTGCGGGGGGGTCGGGGCTGCTTCTCCTCCGGGGAGGGGGTGCATCGCTGCTGCCTTTGTTACTCGCTGTTGTGGGGAGGGTGCTGGGGAGTAAGGTATGTTGGGGGTCGTGGGGTGCGTGCGGAGAAGGACTCTCTTCCTCCCTTCTTTGAAGTCTTGGACTCCGTTGAGGGTCCCCTGCACCCTGCCTGGCAGCCCAACTTCATGCACGCCCCGCACCGTGTCCGTGGGAATAAAACTAGGGTGGCCCCGGACCCGGGTGGCCAGGTGGGGGGGGGGGGGCGGAACGGGAGGGGGACTCTGCACGGCTTGGGCAGAAAGCTGGGAGTTAGCAGCCGTAGCGGAAGGAGACGGTGAGCTTGGGAGCACGAGCGCCCCAGGCCCCGGGACGCTGCGAGGTCCTGGGTGGGGCGCTGGAAGTTGAGGTGCTGATGGCACAGTTGGCCGCTGAGGTTTGTTGTTGTTTTCAAACCTCCCGTGCTCGCTCTCTCGCCCGCCCGCCCGCCCGCGCGCTCAGGCTGGTGGGCTAGCCGCTCCTGGGAAGTGGCCAGCAGGCGGCGATGTGGTGGCCAGCAGGCGGGCAGGGGGGCGGGGGGAGGGGGGGAAGATCTGAAAGGCCGGGGTGTGTGTATGGGGGGGCGGTGCGTGGGCGCACCCCTTGCCTCATTCAGCAGCTGGCAGGCCGGTACCGCTGGCGCCTTGGGGCACCTTCTCAAAGGGCCGCGTCTGGGCCGGATGCGGTGAGGAAAAGGGGTCGCGTGTGGTCTCCTGGGCCGAATTCCTGGACTGATGGGAAAGCCGCCGCCCGTGTGTGTGGTGTGTGACCCAGTTCCCTCCCTTCAAGGTGAGGGCGTGTACTCTCCTCTGGCCCTCCAGGAATGCGCACGCCCCGGGAGCTTTTCATTGATTTCGTTCTTTGTGTGTGTAAGCGGCTGAAAAACCCTGGGAGGGGTGCGCAAAAAAAAAAAAAAACAACCCCGGACCTTGCCCTGGGAAAGGAAAAGAACCCAGGCCCAGTGCTTGGGTTACCCTGGCCTTGGAGAGAGCTGCGAGCTGCCCGCACCCACCCCGCCCCCCCCCCCACCTCCGACCTTGAAAACCAGTGTTTTCAGAATGCCAGTGGATTATAAAAGCCTAAATTTCCTCCAGGATTTGAGGACGGCTTCATCTAAGGCTCCTGGAAGGAAACTTGATGATAAGCCTCCCGTATGAAACGGGTCTGCCCCTTTAATGTCTGTGCCTTGACAGCTTTCGGTGAGGAAGCACTTCCTTCCAACAGCTGTCTTCTTGGCAGAAAACCAAAACATTGGCTTAAAGGGACCCACAGACTGGAACAGCCTCACATTTCGGCTTTAGAACAAATCCCACAATTGTTCAGCTTTCCGGTCTCCTTCAGATCAAGCAGAAGATGTGTTTTGATTTTCATGCTTGCATTTTAAACAATAATTTTCTCTCCCAGCGTGGTAGTAGAGCAGGAGAAGGGAGAAGGGCCCACAAGATACTACATGTTTCTCAGTTGCTGCTGTTATTATGGGTGACTTGGGGTGGAGGCATTCTCCCCCCCCACCCATCCCCACCCCATTGAGTGGGGGAGGAGGTTGGTGCTCCTGTGAATTTATGACTTTGTAATAAAGATCTAATCTTTGTATGTTCGGGGAGGACCAGTTATTTTATTTTTTTAAATGAAATTGTTCTGAATTTTGAGATACTGCAACTCATCATTGAACATGGTGCTTTCCAGTGGAGGGTCGCAATGAGAGAGGAAATATTTGTAGTCTAGGGGAGCAGACCAGTGGGTGATGATTTAAGTTATCTAGTCAAGTCTGCTGAGCCCAGCTCTGTCGTGATATATCCTTCCCACCCCAGACTCTGGCAGTGCTCCCCCTGATATAGTAACTGAGGAAACTGGGGTCTCAGGGCAGAGCAACGTTGTTGGAATTACAGAGGTGGCATGAGGTGGAACCGGAATTTGTCAGGCCCCCAAGCCCCAGGTTTCTTCCAACTTATGCCACCTGCTAATGTGTGAATGGAGGCCTACGGTGCCAGGAATACACCAAAAGGGGGAAAATGTTTCCAGAGGGTGTGTGTGTGTGTGTGTGTGTGTGTGTGTGTGTGTGTGTGTGCAGGTACCCAGCGCCTGCTCTGATTGTTTTTGCAAGGGAGGGGGTCACTCCTGGCGCTGCACTCAGGAGTTAAACCTGGAGGTGTCTGGGGACCCCTATGGGATGCCCGGAATCAAACTCGGGTCAGTGGCGCTAGCAAGGCAAACGCCCTCCCCGCTGCATCAGAGCTGGCTCAGATTCTGCCCAAGTTTTTATTCCTGCATCTTCTCTTGCCCTGACCGCCTCTCCCCTTCTTGTGCCCCCTTCCCCCCCAGATGACGACGACGATGAAGAAGAAGACGAAGAGGAAGAGATCGACGTGGTGACCGTGGAGAAGCGCCGCTCGTCCCAGAACAAGTCGGTGACCACCTTCACCATCACGGTGCGCCCCAAGAGCGCGGCCCTGGGCCCCAGCCGGGCCCAGCCCGGGGAGCTGATCCTCAAACGCTCAGTGCCCATCCACCAGCAGCACAACTACGCCGCCCCGTCGCCCTACGTGGAGAGCGAGGAGGCGCCGCCCCAGAAGAAGATGAAGAGCGACACGTCGCCGCGTCCCCTCAAGAGCGTCCTGCCCCCCAAGGCCAAGAGCCTGAGCCCCCGCAACTCCGACTCGGAGGACAGCGAGCGCCGCCGCAACCACAACATCCTGGAGCGCCAGCGGCGCAACGACCTGCGCTCCAGCTTCCTCACGCTCAGGGACCACGTGCCAGAGCTGGTGAAGAACGAGAAGGCCGCCAAGGTGGTCATTTTGAAAAAGGCCACCGAGTACGTGCACGCCCTGCAGGCTGAGGAGCACCAGCTCTTGCTGGAGAAGGAGAAGCTGCAGGCGAGGCAGAAGCAGTTGCTCAAGAAGATCGAACACGCGCGGACTTGCTAAACGTTGTTGTTTTGGTTTGTTTTTTTTTTTCCTCAAAAACCGGACAGTCACTGCCACTTTGCACATTTTGATTTTTTTTTTAAAAAACAAACAATTGTGTTGACATTAAGAATGTTGGGTTTACTTTCCAATGGGTCCCCTCACCTCACCCCCACCCCACCCCACCCACACACCCCGCCCTGGTTGGAGTTTGGATCCGGGTGGGGAGCAGGATATTATATGAGGGGTGCTGCCAAGACCTCGGGAGAGAGGGCTGGTGTGATGGGATGTTGGCCGGGGCCCTTGCAGTCTCCTCCACACCACGTCACCTCCGAGAAGGCCGGTCAAGTTCGTGACACTTGGGAAGCCTCTGGGGCGGTTGAAGTCACCTTGCTCGTTCTGAGTTTGCAAACAACCAAGAGTCATTCCTTCTTTTAAAAAAAAAATGGTGCTTAAGTTCCAGCAGAAGCCAAGCCAGGGGGGTTGCCATTTGATACTACCCACCCTGGGGAACATTTCTGTAAATACCATTGTCACACCCGCCTTTTTGCATACGTCCTGGGTAATGAGAGGAGAGGTGGCTTTTGCGGCCAGTATTAGACTGGAAGTTCATACCTAAGTACTGTAATACCTCAATGTTTGAGGGGCATGTTTTGTATACAAATATATTGTTAATCTCTGTTATGTACTGTACTAATTCTTACACTGCCTGTATACTTTAGTATGATGCTGATACATAACTAAATTTGATACTTATATTTTCGTATGAAAATGAGTTGTGAAAGTTTTGAGTAGATATTACTTTATCACTTTTTGAACTAAGAAACTTTTGTAAAGAAATTTACTATATATATATGCCTTTTTCCTAGCCTGTTTCTTCCTGTTAATGTATTTGTTCATGTTTGGTGCATAGAACTGGTTAAATGCAAAGTTCTGTGTTTAATTTCTTCAAAATGTATATATTTAGTGCTGCATCTTATAGCACTTTGAAATACCTCATGTTTATGAAAATAAATAGCAATTAAATGATGCAACTTTTTTTTCCTCCGTAGCATTAGACTGGCCCTCAAGCATGATTATATATCCTGCATAGTGAATAAATAACACTTCATGTATAGAGGAAATGGGGTTTATGTGGTCATGTAGCAGTCCAGGTTGGGGAGGGGGCCTTACCCTGCATGAATAGCCATCAGGCTGCAGAAGTTGACAGGAGATGCCTTGTAATAGAGGCTCTCCAGAGTTTAAAACCCTCAAGTATGTTAGTCAGATTTCACAGAAAACACCACTACGTCGATACTTAATTTGTATTTCGTTTTATTTTGATTTTTGGGTTCTGCCTGGAGGGGCTTGAGCGACCATATGTGGTGCTGGGGATTGAACCTGGGTCAGCCACAGGTAAGGCAAGTGCTGTACCCCACTGGGCTATATTCACCACATTCCCTTAGGTCTCTTCTTTAAACCAGAAGTAAAATTGGGATGCTAGGCTGCCCCTTTGGCATGCTTTGATGTTTGGTTGGCCTCCGGGAAGGTGGTGTGTGGTCTTCAAAACTTACTGAGAGTTTGTAGTAAGGCATTTAGAGTAAGCAGATGAAGTGTTCCCTCCTCAGAAATTCTGAATCATTCACAAAAGGAATTCGTGAAGTACTGCATTTTTTTTCAGTCAGGGAGGCTGTTCCTGCAACTCTGTCCTGGACTGCTCCTGTCACAGGTTGCTATTACATTATTACCTTGAAGCAGAATTGCTTTTGGTGGCTCTGGAGGACAGATAGACAGGCCACCTGTTGGAAGCAGGCACTGCCAACTTCAAAGTGATTCCTGAGCCTCCTGATGGAAAACAAACCTGCTGGTGAGACATTTACTTCAGAATGGAAAGCAAACTCGTAACCTCCTAAGTCTTGAAATTGTTTCCTGAGTGTAAAAATAACCTATTTCATGGGTGAAATCTGGAAGGAAGTGGACTCTCTAAAGTTCATCTCTAAACTGAAGAGAAGAAAAAGGTGTCTACTTGAGAATAAAATGAAATAGAGAGTAAGACTTCTGCCTGGACCAGGTTGGCCCATACCTGGGCCTCACCTGCTGTACTGCAGCCCAAGCTTTGAAGAGTCTTGAAATCCATTCAATCTATGTCTATCTGTGGTCCCTGCTGAGGATGTGACCTAGGAAGGTATTTCAGATGAGGTGAAACTTTAGCTCTGGTAAAGAAATTGGTGGAAATGAAGTCCTAAATTGTATTTCTTGCTAGCTTCCTTCTGCTCTAGCTGCTGGGAAGCCCTTAACCTGCTACCCGTTGCCTCTGACACTTGTCCTCACTTGTGTCTGAAAGTTTGTGATCCATTGTTTCTTTAATCACCTTTTTATGTTCTTTGTTACGTTAGAGAAAAGTTTGCATTTGTTGGGATTTAATTATAAAACACCCAAACTGGGGCCGAAGAGATAGGTAAGAGTAGGGTTCTTGCTTTGCATGCGGCTGACCTGGATTTGATTCCCAGCATCCCATTTGGTCCCCTGAGCTCCGCTGGGAGTAATTCCTGACTACAGAGCTGGGTGTAATCCCTGAGCATCACCGGGTGTGGCTTCAAAACAAAACAAAACCCACAAAAACCAAATTAGAGTAAAATGTCGCTGATCTGCCTTTCCTGGCCCAGCAGAAGTAAAGTACCACCCAATTTAGCTCTGCAATTATCTGTAAGTAATAGTCACAGTCAGGAAAGAATTGAAGTTCTCTTTTCAATAGCTTGAGAAGCCTCTGCAGACAGCAGTTTTTTGGTTTTTGTGGGTTTTTGTTTGTTTTTAATGGGAGGTGGTAGGCAGAGAGAGCATGTGGGTGTTTAGGACTCGATCACCCACATGCCCCCTGGCTCTGTGCTCAGGAGACCATATGGGGTGCCAGAGATTGAGCCTGGGTTGGCAGAGTGCAAGGAAAGTGATAGTACCTGCCATACTATCTTTCACTCTGGCCCTTCAGAGTAGTTTTGATGGAGAAACTTCTCTTCATCAGATATAGAGGTCATAGGACCTGAAGCATAGCTATCATCTCATTGGATTACTTCATTTTTACAGAGAGGGGCTGGAGTGATAGCACAGCGGTAGGGTATTTGCCTTGCATGCGGCCGACCCAGCCAACCCAGGGTTCAATTCCTCCACCCCTCTCGGGGAGCTACTGAGAATATCTTGCCTGTACAGCAAAGCCTGGCAAGCTACCCGTGATGTATTCGAAATGCCAAACACAATAACAACAAGTCTCACAATGGTGACATTACTGGGCCCGCTTGAGCAAAATCGATGAGCAAATTGATTGACAACGGGAGGACAATGACAGTGACAGAAAGGGGCCTGGGATCCAACATCAATGGAGAGATTGAACAGGGAGCAGAAGGTCGATCTCATCATAGTCTACCAGTATCCCTTAGGACACTGATTTTCCTGCTCCTACCTGCCAGTTTTGGTACCTCCCTGGTCTTCCTGTCCCCATCTTTCCATATTAATCCTTCCAAGTAGCCAGCCCACCAACGGCACTCCCACCAGCTCCCATCCTTGGTCCAAATCCTCTCAGCTAACTGTGAAGGCTGCTTCCATCCTTGTGCCAGTTCTGTTACCCACTGTGTCCTAGGATAATCCTTCCAGGCACGCTAGACCCTGCCCCATCTTCCCTCTGCCTTGTTTCACCTCTTCCCTGTGCCCGTATCATCCAGCTCCTGCTGCTTAAATCTTTCTCAACCTTGCACAACTGACAGCAAGTCAACTTCCGGTTACCCCCATGTGGGCGTTCTTTAGCTCCTAATTTGATAGTTTCTGGAGTGCGCAGAGCTGCCCAGATCATTCCACCCCTACCCCAATCTCCTAGGTGGTTTGATGTCCATGATAGGTTTCACCTCCCAATAACCTCTGAAACTTCAGCCCTAGCCTGGTGATGTCAGGGCTTTAGCAGATGCCAAGAGAATGCTGGCAGTTAAGGCAGTAGAGAGGAGCAAGGTGAGGATCATCCAGGTGGTGGTGAAGAGTTTGAGAGTGGTGTTTGCTCACAGTACAACGGCTTTTAGGTTTATCCCAGTGGGGAAACACATCTAACAGTTGCCAGTACGGGAAGGCAGGGAAGATGCATCTGGAAGCCTGCCTGGGGCCCACACATGGGAGACTTAACCTCTCTGGGGGCTTTGAGCAGGAGGTGGGAAGGGGAGATGGGAGGAAGTGAAGGGGATATTGCTGTGCTAATGGTAGAGGGCCTCCATGGCTGACTCAGGCCCTACATCTTTCTGCTCCCTGTGTGGATCTGTTTCTATGGGAGACAGCCGGTTTGCAGGTGTTCCTCGGACCTGGGGAGCTCACACATTTGTGTCATGGGGACAGTGGTCACACCTCCCACCCAGTGTGGCACAGAGACCATGGAGTCGCTTCATCTTCCCGACTCATGAGCTGTCAGGAGCTTTGACTGGCTCGGCACATTCTCAGATACCCTCCTGGTTCTTAACATCTCACCTTTACAAATTCCTCTTTTGGAGGGAGGCAGGGTTGTCAAGCAAGCCTTGGAAGTAAACAGGGTCCAGTCCTGGTGATACTCAGCCAACTAGACCAGATGGTTCCATGCTGGGGCCTGGCAGTGCTGGAGATCACCAGTGCCACACATGGCAGTGCTGAGGGGCTGCTAGGGTTTCATCTGGTGTTGCTGGGTGGGAACATGCAGTATCAGGGAACAGAGTGAAGACTCATAGAGACAAGCACATTCTCCAGCCCTTAGTGTTATCTCCCTGGCCTCAATGATAGCTGCTATGTGGTGGTTGTGGGGAGTGGGGGAGGGGAATCCTTAAGTGGATTATTTTTCAAACTGGAGATGATAATATTTGGAAATGGCTTGGAAGTCATCTAGTTCAATCTCTTGGGTGCCATGGGGATCACACTTGGCATTTGGGATAGTACTATGGATGAACGCTTTGTCTTAGCCCTATACGGCAGGCTCTTGATCATGAAGTCACCATAGCCACGCCTAACTTTGCCTCCTGCCAACTTCCCGTTTCAAAGACAGAGGCCCAAGGAATTGCAAGAATCCCACTGATCTTTTTAATTTTTTTCTCCGCCCCCCCCCCATCCTCTCCATGTCCCTTACAACATGGTCGGAAGTTCTTACCTACTGTGAACTGTCTTGGGCACTTGGGCATCCAAGAGCAAGAGACCCCCAAATCCGTCCAATCTCTGCTGTGTAGTCCACAGTCTGGCACTGGTTGACGAGAAATCAAACATAAAGAGCAAATATGTGAACTTGCATTCACCAGGTGGTGAATGTGAAGAAAGATAAGGAAAACAGGCTGCAGAGGCTGGGGATAGGCAGGGCAGGAGGGACAGGGCTGCGTGGCAGAGACCAGCATCAGGCAGGTGATATGGGGAGGGAGCTGAAGGGGGAGTAATTTGCACCTCCCCCCCAGACCCAGCACCTGCCCTGCTGGGGCTGCTCAGGGGGAAGGTGTGGGTTCAGAGTTCCCCCTTCTTCATTTTGCAGTGACATGAGCAAATGTGCCTCCATCAACTTCTCTTTCGCCCTCTCATGGAGATGCAAGAGACCAAATGGTAGGAGTGTGGATTTAACAGCACACGGTCTCCTGGATCACTCTGTACCACCCACTGAGTTTGGGGTTGTAGCTTCCCTTCAACAATGGGGGTGCCGTGAGGAGATAAAGAGGGAGAAGTAGCAACACCCACCTCAGGGACTTATAGAGAGCACATGCTCGAACCCACGGCACACGAAGGGTGTGCTTGAATCTGTTAGACCATCAGATTTTATGTCCACAGTTTCCTTTCTCTCTATTTCCTCTGTATGTTACTAGGGCGAAGAGTCTTTCAAAATCATTTATTGGTAGAAATCAATTTACTTTAAGGAGAACTTTGCAGACTTTTGTTCCTCAAAAGAGCCCTTACAAAATCTGCACACAGGTACCTTGGAAACAAGTGAATGTGAGCTTTGAAGCCTATTTTAAGACAGAGCCTAGGAATTCTAGTACAGCAGAACATCTACACCTTCTACAATGGTTTATTAGTTT